TTTTGGCCTCTCTCAGCGAGATATTCTCGTGTTTTTTGAACTCGGTCACATTGCCACCCGCGTGCTTTATGACGAAATATAAAGCGTTGTGCGAGGTGCATTTACACGATTCCGTCCTCGGTTTCTTCCATGCGCCCAATTTTGATCGGTACATCCTTGTACGGCTCCTGTCGGACGATGTACCCATATTTCCTCCCACATTCCGCACGGCAGTCCTCGTCGGTTCTTGGCTCTGCAATCAATCGGTGTGTTTAGTAAAAGCTAGGGGGCTATGCGCCCTGGCCGCTACGCGGCCCAACCCCCTGAGGGTGCTTCACCCTATCTTAGGCCCGCATCGACAAAAGAACGACCGAAAAAATGAAAAGATTTTCATACCCGACTCTCATTCGTCCAATTTTTCTCTGGCCGGGAACGATTGGACCAATAAGAATCCAGTGGCGTGGCGTGTTTGCGATATATCGATTGATCTATCATTTAAATCTATGGAAAAGAATCGATTATTAGGGTGTTCGCAGCGGACACCCCAATAATCGATTCTTTACCACAGCTCAAATGGGGAAATATCGATAATCGATCATTCACGCCTCGCCACTGTAAGAATCAATATGAGAATAATGGAATGGAGTGTTTCGTTACTTATGGATAGTCCGTAGTAAAGGAGCACACCTTCGGTTCACCTACCTTACCCTTATAACAGCCCAAGATTCACAATTTCCCGCTTAGTTCAATTTTTCGCAAAATTTGAAATTCCCGCCGATAAAAAATGGCGGGAATTTCAAATTTTGCCCCCTTTCTAAGCTCTCAGGTATACTCAATTTTTAAAAAATCTGGGTTATATTTCCAAAATCTAATTACAGCGGACTCATGTAGCGACTATCACCTGTCGATAACCGCATCAAAAAGTATGGAAATCGGTCTAGTAGAACGCTCAAACGAACTATGACAAAAAATAAACATTTACATTGTTTAAATGGGAGGATTCGCAACTTTACCGCGTAATGTAAAAAAAACCTGGGTCATATTTTCAAAATCTGAATATAGCGGGCTCATCTAGAGACAATTGCCTGTTGATAGCCGCAAAAATCAAGAAAATCGGCCCGGTAGAACGCTGGAACTAAGGGTTACCAGTTATGCAAATTTAGGAGGTCTTCACTCAAAAAACAAGTATGGGAAGAGTGACTTACCGGCCGAATTATGGATCATGGAGCCATAAAATATAGTTCGTGGAGCCATGCTCATAGGTTCACGACCAATAAAGTATGGCTCAGAAAGCCATTCTGTGGACGGTAAGTCACTTTCGTGTTTTCTCAAAGGAAATCTGGTGACCCGAAGGTCCATACGATGTTTTTCCTAAGCATGGCAGAGAAAGCCTTTGTGGATGCACTTGCTATGCAATTTTACGGGCTGAAGGCTCTTCATTCATTGGGTGTATCTCACCCATTTGATCGTCCAAAAAATTGACTACATTTTGCAAGTAGGAATTACAATTTGAGGATTATCCATATAAGCATGTATCTGCATAGAAAACTTATAAATAGCACATATGCTGCTTGTAGCATGAGCCAGAAATTGCAGCTACTAATTGCAAAATGCAGTCCATATCTATTTGGTAAGAAACTACAGTGTTAGAAATTGATCATCAGAGGCTCAAAGATGAGTAAACAGAGGGAAAACTGACCACGTTCAGCTGAAACTATGATGAACAAGCTAAGGACGATAAGGTTGTTGAGCACGACCATTACACGGCTCCTTCAAAAATATGTTCAAGCTAAATCGAAGTGTTCACTGTTCAGACTGTCGTTCTAATCGAAACAGTTAGACTATGACAACTAAGCAAGGTTAAGGTTTAACCTTGTCGCGATCGAAACTGAAACAGTTGTCAGCATGTACGCACTTTCGTTTGTGAGTGCCGGGATAAATCGATCGTGCTGAGGAAAAAGTGCAATTTTGACTTGTTGACTACGTATAGCAGGTCCAAAAAAACAACACCAACAACAATCAAACGGCTGTTTCAGAATGAGTTTTCATCAGATAAAAACTTGTTTAGAAGTCTGCTTTCCTTTTTAGTGTCGTTTTTCTCATGAAATCGCATGGCGAATAAAACAGGTGTCATTTCATTACGTTTTTTATGCTGCAGCGATGGATTTGATTCTCACGTGATCAAAGCGGATCAAAACTTTGCAAGCCATCACACTTTCTGGGTGCTTCATATTTTTCCCCCGTAAGGAAAATTAGAGGGTTTTTTGGATTGGTCAAAATTTTGTAAAAAAAGATAGATTGGTTTTTGTTTCTTGAGGAAGATATCTCGTCTATTTGGTATAACCGCGCAACGGACCCAAAAATTAATAATCTGGCATTCGAATTGAAATAATACAAATGCGACTGTCTTTTTTCATACTCTAAAATTTCTCCAGGTTTATTGAATAATTAGAGTCATGCCATGATACATACGTATTCTTTCTCCGGTATGCGTTTGACAACTTGAACGTAAACTTTTTTTCACTTCCTGGCTCGTTTTTTTTTGTTTTGTTTTGTGTTGCATTTTTAAAGATTCCAGTTTTTTTTTAAAAAAAAAAGAAAATTCAAGATAAGAAAGAGAAGAAGAAGAAGAAGGAGAAAAATCACAATTTATTCACAAGTATTTACAGTGATAGGTCTAGCACACGGGAGAAAGCTGTTGAATTGCATAACTTCTAGGAGACACAGAATACTTGAAACTACACACATAATGACACTTTGAGCTTTCGAATTTACAATATCATACATTTTTATTTTCAAGAAAACGGGACCATTGCGAATATTTCGTGTCCTTAATGAAAAATGATCCCTTATCATTATCCAAAAGAGTCCTAGAAAGTGGGCACTAGGCGGATCAACCAATCAGAGACGACTCGTAAAAGTAGGGGTTGCCCCCGGGGCCGTAATTCGAATCGCTGCTCTTGTTCTCTCTTTGAGCTATACGGCTGAATTTCACTCGCGGTTGGTAAAAATCATCCTTTTCATATTACTGTGTTAAGGACATCCTTGATCCTCCCTTAATGACAATGTAAACGAGATGGGACGGGGTCTCTTGAGGAAAAGTGCCTGTTCAAGGTGCCGTGGAAAAAAGGTCGCTTGGATCTAGAGTCCGGACTCTTAAAAACATTGACAAGGAAAACTACTCTTGATTCAATTGGACTTCATGCTTGAATCAAAAGGAAATCCGCCTAAATCAAGAGACTTGGCTCTTCGATTCAAGTAAAAATCGGACTGAATCAATAGTGTTTTTCTTGTTAATGTTGGACTCTAGATCCAAACGACTTTTTTTCCATAGTGTAATTCGATGGACACTATATTTTGTATTAGAACGACATGTGATACATCGCATCGATTAGTTCCATTTTCTCAGCCATATACTTGTCATTTTTTTCGAATTTTGCGATCGCAGTTCTGTTGTCAGGAGAATAAAAAATTCACTTACCAATTTAGACAAAAAAATTTCAACTTAATAAAGAGGCGGTTTTTCTATGGGAAAAATATCGCATCCGATACGGATGTCGTAACTGCACCCGAATGCGATATTTTCTCCCTAAAAAACCCATGCCTTTATTACGTTGAATCCGTTTGTCAAAATTGGTAAGTGAATTCTTCAGTCTCCTGACAACAGAATTGCGATCGCAAAATTCGAGAAAATTGACGAGTAGCCGAAAAAATGGAACCAATCGATGCGATATTCCAAATGTCGTTTTCACATAAATATGACGTCCATCGAATCACCTAAGGAACGTCTATGAAAATGATCCTTAAATCAGTTTTCCTTGGTTTTTTTTAGTGAAAGTGACTTAAACCTTATCTGCCGTGATCAGGCCCGCCACATCCCATCTCGGGCCCTGGTACCAATTTTCTGGCCCGGGCCCCTAGCACGGGGGGGGGTTCCGGGGGGCCTCCCCCGGGAAATTTTTGAAATTTTAAATCAATTTGGACGCATTATGAAGCTCTTATGATGGAGATTTTCCATCAATTTCTGCAGAATAATTACGCCTTTTTGTTTACTTTCAGCACCAAAAACTTTCGAATTGTTGCATTCAAAACATCTATAAATTTTTTTTTGTGGGGGCAGATGATAATTTTCAATTCTATGGGGAGCCGGGCCCCCCTGGACTCCCCTTTCGTACGTCTATGGCAAGGGAGTTAAGCCATTGAAGTCGAGGATGCCCAGAAAGGAGCCTCTTTAGCATCCGACAACGGAAGAAAATGAAACACAGTTACTAAAAATATCATTCTACATATACTCAAGATCTTGAAAATCTCTAAAAAAGTAAGAAAAATTTTATAGTGCCCTAGCGTGTTTTTGAAACTTTATTCACCTTTTGCGGAATTTTTAGGGTAATTTTTTCACTTTTCCCTAGGAGACAAGGGTTACACATGAATTCGTAGTGGTTTGTCACCTGCGTCACGGGCCCCTCCAGGGCCCGGGCCCCGGTACCAGGGACCCAGTATCCCCCCCCTTGTGGCGGGCCTGGCCGTGATAGCGAAAAGAGCAGCAAGTGTCAAATTTTCGAAGTCGAGTTTCCTTCAAAATACGTCTAATCTCTTTTTCATGAAAGCACTGAAATAGCAAAAATAGCATGACTTATCTTAATTCTATCAAGACAAGACATTTGAGAAAGCTGTAAGTGCGCAAAAATAATGTAATTTTAGGCAAGGCAGCAGTGTGTGACATTAACTATTCCACCAGAGAGTCAATGAAATCAGTGCTTTTAAGTAAAGTGCTGCCCTCTTTTGACGATTTCTAACCTGGAAATGTGTTCATTGTGTGTCCAAAACGCAACCACGAAAGCATGCAGAAGATAGCACTTACGGCTGTCTTGCCTATCAATAGCCTAGTATGAAAATGAAAAATGCTCCTTTTATGTAATTGAAATAAAATCAGTCAATTTTTAATCATCCAAACGAATTTTAGGAGTCTTTCGGATGATTAGTAGCAATTTGACAAAGAACGGAGGCTCCTTTCGATAAAATTTTCCTCTCAGACGCTAGTGAGCCAATCTCTCAAAACTTCAATTTTGTTCCTATGGTTCTCTTCGCTAAAATGGCAGAGTATTCAACTACCGGCGATTCGTACCGTGGAACACGAGTGGACGGGGTGCACCTCATAACATGGTGCACACTCCAGCAGGCGCAGTGTAGGCAATTTGCGCATCGGGATTTATGCGTAACGGTGTAGCGTTTGAAGTATCTCTAGGATGTCGAAGGCGCTATATGTGAGGCGCTAATAAAAATTTCCCGGTCAGAAGCTTCGGAGCCCGTTTTCTCAAAACTTCATTTTTGCACTTACTGCTCTCTCTGGGTATCACGGCAGTTATCCGTCGACTTTCTTCGTCCGTTTTCCGGCGAACACAGCCTCGATCTCATCGAGCGTTTTGCGATGAGTTTCGACGAGGAGCGTAGCGGAGTACAAACCAAACACCAGAGACCCGGCCGCGAACAGGAGGATCATCCCCTCCAGTCTTAGGTTATCCAGTAGCGTGTTGTACAACTTCACAGACACAAACATGAGCCCGTACATTGAGCAGAAGCTTACACCGCACATGGTCCCACGCACCTGCAACAGGAACAAAACAAAGGACGGATTATAAGAAACATTATTGAATGGTTAAAAGAGTTTATGAATACTTGGGAGTGCGGTTGACCCAGGATGGAAGGACCTTAGAAAGGAAGGCTATAGCGATGTTAAATGGATTCGCGATCATCATCGCGATCACTACTTCCTTGGAAAAGGAAATTTCAAAATTCCCCCAATGAGGATTCACTAAAAAAGTTAAGATATCTTCGTTAGGAGTTGATTTTAGTAATTTTAGTTGGTCGAATCGTGTTCCGTCTAAAATTTTGGTCGGGAAACGTGAATCAGAATGCTTAAATTCGCACCTACGCTACTGCCGTGCTAAGGAAAAACGCCGTATGAACATTCGAATATTGCCAAATTTCCTTTCAAAAAATGTATTTTTTCCAGAAAGTTATGGATAGTTGTTTTTCAAATCTTCAGACCCTACGTATCAAATTACAAACAAAATTCTATGAAAAATCAGAGGAAAAATAATCACAAATTCTCCCGAAAATTTGTGATTGTTCGTAGGAAATTTGGCAAAATCTGAAGGCTCATACGGCGTTTTTCCTGAGCACAGCAGTCTAGTGGTCCACTTTGCGGGTTGACGATTCCACACAATATTTCCGACTTTGACATTTCCACACAAAAACCAGGATTGACACACCTGCACAAAATTAGTAACTTTATTTTTGGGACGATTTGGTAAGAAAATTTGGGGGCGAATCGGAGGGTTCCATCAGCTACCACAATCTGGCTGGATTTCCTCCAATAATCGAAGATTGACTTCAAACGTAAAGATAAAGCACACACGTAACGCACAAACTTCAGACGTAACGCACACTATTTCTTCTTCTTGTTATATTCCCCCTCCTCCGACATTCTGGGCATCCGAGGTGGACACAAGCACGGTACAACTCAGACCAGGATACCTTATGGGAGCAACGTTGCCAGATGTAACTTGTGCGGGAAATATTTTGTGCGGAAACGTCAATCACGATCATTGTGTGGAATAAAGATGTTGCATGTGTGAGGGATTTGCGATTTGACTGGTGATTCTTATACGTAAAAGCTCGCGAGAAACACGATGGTGCCACTGGTTTTCTCTGAAATCAACTCCCAAGCTCAAAAAAAGCTCTCAAGTTGAGGTCAAAATGGAGGGGATATCCCTCCCTTCCCTGAGAGTCCACCTCTACATCAAGACAAACTCTCCATGCAAAGATAGGGAGCAAATACATTGACAGGGCTGCCACTTTATTTGGGGACTCCAAAACTGAAAACACGGCAGCCCTGCTAATGTATTTGCTCCCTATCTTCGCATGGAGAGTTTGTCTTGATGTAGACGTGGACTCTCAGGGTAGGGTGGGATATCCCCTCCATTTTGGCCTCACTTTGAAAGCTTTTTTTGAGCTTGGGAGATGATTTCACAAAAAAACCAGTGGTACCATCGTGTTTCTCGCCAACTTTACGTAAGAATCAACAGTCAAATCGCAAATTCCTCGCACATGCAACATCTCCATCGTCGAAGTCCCAGATTTTGTGCGGGAAACGCATAATGTCGTCCACTTTACCTTGATCGGGAACATTTCGTAGGGCATGGTCCACGGCAGCGGGAAAATCCCGAGCGTCATGGTGAATATATACGCGAGAAACAGCGCCATGGGGGTCCACGCGTTGGGGGCCAGTTCCGGCTTGACGAGACACCAGTAGACGAGGAGGAGGGAGGCGGCAGCCCCGAAGCCGGACACAGCGCCGATCGTCCTTCTCCCGACGTGCCGCAAGAGAGCGCTCGTGACGCAAATGGCCGCGAGTCGCACGACGCCGATGGCGACGGTGGCCTGGAGCGGGTCGAACGTGGAGTGGAACTCCCGCATGAAGTTGACCGTGTAGGAGATGACGATGTAGAAGCCGGAGATGTTCTGGAGCGCCGAGAGAATGAGGACGGTGAGGTACGGCTTCCAGACGGTCGGGGAGGCCAGCACGCGGAGGCTGAAAGTTTTATGGCCAGATTGCGTCTCTGAAATTTGAAAATTGAATATTGTATTACTGTGTCAAATGAGGGGCTTGGCAGACAAGGGCGCATAATGCTGTTCATGAAAAAAATAAGATACTAATGATTTCAAGTTAAACTAGTATGACGCATATCGACGGTGAAACTACGAAACCACGTATCTCGTTTGCGGTGTTTAAAAATCTACGCTCGTATTTTATTTTTTGGAAGTAGACCAAATCAATATCATTCCTTGAAATTTTCACAGAATTTTCTCCGCACGAAGAGGAAAAATCACAGACATTTTCAAGACTGGACGTTGAGTAGTTTTTCATTTAAAAAATAAAGTATGACAGAAAGTCTGCGACGTCGCAAACCGAGATACGTGGTTTGGTAGTTTCACCGTCGATATTCTTTAAAATTTCACTCCCAAATTGACCACTAGACAAGGTACGAATTTCAGCATACTGATACATGTTTCTGAGCCAAAATTTCACGGAAAACACGATGTGCACAACGAAAATTACCGAAATCAACTTTTTACGAAGATATTAAATAATTATTGATGCGTGAATTCAAACCACCCGCTCATGAAAACTCAATGCTCTGCGTGATTTACATCGCGCGCTAAACGTTGTCATGACAGTCTCTGCGATATAAAAATCTGACAACCTCAATCTTGACGCTTTGGCTCAGCTATTACAAATGTCTTATAGTTTAAGCAAAACATGGTGGGAAGTGGACATTGCTCGATTGCGAGGCTTGCTGAAACCGTTGTAGTGCGCGATTTGACTCAAGTAGAGCTTTGAGTTTCTTGTGAGCAGGCAGTTCAAATTCCTCGTAACCAATGTGAAATAATAACGTTAATATCCTTGTTAGGAGTTGGTTTCAGTAATTTTCGTTGTAAGAACCGTGTTTTACGTAAAATTCTGGTTAAGAAACATGTATCAGATTGCTTAAATTCGTAACTTGTCTGGTGGTCAATTCCAATTTGTGAGCATCAAAAAGTCAGTTTAAAATTTCTTTCCGCCGTAAGGATCCGTATAATTTCGAATATTCAAACACGAATTTCTCGACATAAAAAAACTGCTCTTATGCGCCTTGCCCTCCAAGCCCCACAAGTACTTTCTATACTTGTCATGCGTTAAAGGCTTTCAGTTGGCAGGAAAGAGATTGTGTTCTCTTTCATTTTCTATAAATATGCAACTTCAAATACCTGGAAGTCAAAATAGTTGTGTCATGCGCTTCGTTTCATCCAACTTTTCTACTCAAACGTTGAAGTCTCTGAATCAGTCCAAAAGGAGCCGTGTTTTCCTTCAGTTTTTAAATATGCAACTTTACCTACCTGGAAGTCGAAATAGTTGTACGACGCGTTTCGCCTTAGTCAGATCTTTTACTTTGCGTGAAGGTTCTCAGTCTTTGGTGCCTCCTGAGGTGCAAATACTTCTCAGAATATTCTGTATAAATTTCAGGATCAGGTCATGGACTTGGCTAATTTTTCCTTGGGGAAACAAAACTAGGAGCAGATCTTTTGATATGCCGCGATGGAGATTCGTTGTTTCGCACATTGACCACCGATATATCATCGATGAATAATACTAAATAATTTGAGTTCACAGGTTGGCTGCCCTTTTGGGTCCTATAGGAGCTGGATGATGCGATTAAACGTGCCTACTCTCCAAAATTACCGACAAGTGCATAATTTCTTTATCTAGGTACTCTGGTGCGGTATTAGCAGCCTGATTGTTGAAATTGATAGATAAAGCTATAGACAAAGAAGACAAAGGGATATGGAGGGATCCTATATCGGTGGAAGCGGGTGATTGCAATGGACAAAGGAGGCAGGTAATAGACTAACTAACGGCAACCGACGAGAGACCCTATACTTGGTTCATCATTTACCCTTTTAGGGTCGCTCCACACTCTTTATGTCTTTCTGTCTATTGCTTTGTCTATCATTTTCTACTGTCTTATCCGCTGCGGGATGATTTTAGAAATTGATAGAAAATAAAACAGGGATTATGGAGGGATCCTTGGTTGAAGCTAGTGGCTTTTATAAACTAAGGGTGTAAGCAATAGCCTAACTATGGGGTCTCTCGTGGGTTTCCGTTAATTAGTCTATTACCTACCACTATGTCCATTGCAACCACTCGCTTCCACCAATAGGATCTTTTCATATCCCTTTTGTCCTCTTTGTCTATAGCTTTGTCCGTCAATTTCCACAATCAACCCGCAGATGCTGCTAATACCGCACCAGAGTACCTAAATAGAGAAATTATGCACTTGTCGGTAATTCTGGAGAGTACGTTTGATCGTATCATCCTGCTCCTAGGACCCAAAAGGGCAGCCAACCTGTGAACTCTAGGATCCCTCCATATCCTTTTTGTCTTCTTTGCCTATAGCCTTGTCTATCAATTGGTTGTATTTCTACCAAGCAGACCTATGTGAAGGTGAGAAATATGGGGTGTGCTCGTTAGTTCTCTATGCGTAAGAGTGAATGAGAATAATAAAGCGCCAGTGACGTCAGCGGCAACGAACGAGCGCCGCCACACTGAAAAAAATGAGTTAGCGTCAGATGACTAAAAATGGTTTCTATACACTAACTCAAATTGTGTGATTTGGACACACATGATTTTTGGTTTCTGTACACTAACCACTATTAGTGCTGGAAACTAATTCCGCTACTCTAATTCGCATTCGGTAGGGTTGGGTCAACCTAACCTCAAAACTGAGAGAGGAGAAAACGGCTTAGCGAATGATAACTGGACAATACTTTCAGGAAAAGAAGATTTCTTAAAAGATGAGAGGTAAAAATCAACTGACCGGTTCCAAATGAACGACAGAGGAAAGGAATATCCCATAGGTATGTGCAAGTAGACAGAATTATCCTTTAGAGAGACACACACTCACACATGAAACGGTAGCGAATGTTCACACTGAATAAACATATCTCGTCCGAACACTTGAGATATTCTTTTGAAATTACGGGAGAACACGAACTATAGAAGTAAGCAGTAAGTTCACAGATTTTCGTAAAATATAAACTGAACGCGGAACGCTTTAATCGCAATTTAATACAGAAGATTGACGACTCCAACGAATATCATGCTTGTTTACGTTTTGAATCGAACAGACGATTTCTAACCTTAACAGGTTTATTTATGTTGCTTTCGAACGTTTTCAAGAAAGAGAGGACACTATAAATCATACCGGGAGTATTTACATTGTCAAACGAGCCCGAAATTTCACATTTTAATTTATTTTCACGAGCTGACGCGATTGAGGATGTTGTACCGACGCCACTTTTTCGAAACTAAATAAATGTAACAGACAATGTGGCAGTTAGTGTTGAGGGCGAATTAGTTTGACCCGAAGGTGAATTTGTCTTACCACAGCGCTAATTTTACAGCTAGTGCTGTTTTCCAATTCTGGTTCGCGCTCTAGTAAAGTCAAGTCAGCGTATGAAGCGAATTGATTGGTGCTTCAGTACAATAAATTAGTTCTGAAGCCTAATTTTGATTCTACTTGGCGAGAACCAACCAAATTAGTTCTCAACGCTAACTACTTTTTTTTCAGTGCACGACGGGGAGATCGTTGGCGGGGCTCTTTAACTCATGAGCCCTGTCCGCAACGCTCTCTTGCCATGCCCGCGGCTCAAGAATCCCGCACTCAGTTGGCACATAGGTCTGTTTGATAGAATGTAAAATCTCGCATTTCCAATTTTTCAAAAGGAATCACGCCCACTTTTACATTGCTTCTTATGCAGCTTTCTAGAGCACACCCCATTATTCTCACCTCCACATAGGTCTGTTTGGTAGGAATACGTCCAATTTCAACAATGAGCCGGCTGATGGCACTCGGGATGTTTCGGGTTTTCCTTTTCGAATATTACCTGCGTCGCGTTGGGCATCGGCGATTTCCTGGAGCTGCTTGAGCCGGGCGTCGACGTTGGCGGGGCCCTCGATCTGGGCGAGGCTGCGGCGGGCGGCGTCGGGGCGGTTCTTGCGGAGGAGCCAGACGGGGGAGTCGCGGCAGAAGAAGGTGAGGAGGAGCCCGAGGAAGGCGATGAGGCAGGAGAAGAGGGCGGCGATGTTCCACGGGAGGTAGACGCCGACGACGTACATGTAGACGAGACCGGTGGAGGCCAGCAGGGGGTTCAGGACGAGGAAGAGCCCGCGGTAGGCCGGCGGGGCCATCTCCGAGACGTAGACGTTGGCCGGGAAGCTGCAGCCTGGAATACGCACAAAAAAGGTTTAGAATACTGCCTAGAATACCTTTAAAGGGAGTAGAGACATGAACATTCCGTGCCCGTCAAAAGTTCCGGGATTTGGAACTTATTTGTTCCGATTTATTTCACTCTATGACCGCCAAAATTTCCGGAATACATTCATACATACATGAGTCGCTTTTATAGCGCTCTTTGGCGCTGTGCGACGCCTAATCGCCACAAAACTCAGTCTTCCCAGAGGTCATCAGGGAGTTGACACTCCCTCATTTCATTTAATACCCCCTGTCGCCACCTCTCACTGGGCGTCCCCTTCGTCTCCTCCGAGGAGGAACCTAATCAAGCATCTTTTTTGGCAGCCTCTCTTCCGTCATCCTCTTGACATGACCGTACCAGACATGCTGTTTGGTCATGACGTCGAACACGATGTCATTTTCGACTTCCATATGACATGACGTATTCTCTCATTACGAACCCAAAAGTTCCGGAATACCTTGTGGAATTTTCAAAAGTTCCAAGAAAGCTCCAGAAAATGTAAAACATCAGGAACCTTTCGGGAATTTCAAAAGTTCCGGGAAAATTCAGGTAGATTTCAAAAGTTCCGGGAAAATTCAGGTAGATTTCAAAAGTTCCGGGAAATGGGAGCACTGGTCATGAGATCCTCTTCTGGCATCTTGGTGATTTTTACCCAATTCTATAATAAACAACTCTTAGTTTTGCTCTAGCAAAAGTTTGCAACAGGCCCATTCACAAGCGCAATTTGCGCTCGGGCGCAATGTTGCCAAAAATCTCATTCCCAAAGAGTTGTTCGAAATCGAAATCAGGGTAAGTTGGAGTTTAAAGTAAATTGGATATAGTTGAATTTAACTCAAGAATTGAGTCGAAGTTAACTCGTTCTTGTCCTCAAAGTGGAGTATTAACAGCGTACTCACCGACACCGACCCCCGCGAGAAATCTACCGACGACGAGGAGAGTGAAGTCATTGGCTGCTCCGATGATACCGTAGCCCATTCCGAGGAGGAAATAGGCCATCTGGACCATTCGAATGCGGCCGAATACATCCGATAGAGACCCGCTAGTGGTGGCCGCAATGCATGTTCCGATAGTCGGCACGCTTGCTGCGGTCAAACAAAAGGAAATACCGGTTAGTACAATTTACTATGGCACTGAAAAAAAAATTCTCGGCGTTTTTACCAAGGTCCGTTGGTACCTTTACCATCTCACTTTTTTTACCAATTACTGGTAATTTTACCAAGACAGACTGGTAAGCTTACCTATAAAAACCGGTATTTTTACTGTTTTTTTTCAGGAAAGAATACCACTTTTATTGGTAATCAATTCCCGGTAACTTTGCCATTTTATATCGGTAATTATATCACTGTCGATAAAAAATATTTGCGTTTTTACCAAGGTCCAGTAAAATTACCGAGAAAGTTTAATAATTTTACCGAGATTTCTCGGTAAAATTACCAATTCCATAAACGGTAATTTTACCAAAAGAAAACTGGAATCAAATAGAACCCTGAATTCATGGTAATTTTACCCTTTTCTTAGTAAATACACCGAGATTTTTTTTTCTGTGTGAGGGAAATGCATACATGGATCGAATTTAACATAAAGGAGCCCCAAATAGCATTTTCCAAAGGAAAAATCTCCTTATTTTGAATTTAAGATGTAGGAGATTATTCAATAATTATTAGTAAGAGAGGAGAAGAGATAGAATAATATGTGTAATAATTATTAGTAAGAGAGTAGAAGATACAGAATAAGTATAATTAATAATATTTAAATGCTGTACTAATAAAACAGCACTTAATAATATTAGATAGCGATGAAATTGCTTGGATCATCAACATCGGAGCGATTATCCTCGATATTGTCGCGATTTTATCTGTAAAAAACCATGTTCAATAAAATCGAAATTTCATCTGAACTTGGCTCGATTTTTTTTCGATAATATTGCGATAAATCCTCGTCTATAAAATCGCGTTACATTTTCCGATCGAATCACAACTTAAACTGATTTCATAATGCGAAAGTTTTCATTCTTATTTAATCATGTTCAACCCACTAGGTTGATTTCGTTCCAAACTGCCTCATTTTAATTTGGTGTAAAGTTTTCGCATGTAAGAAATTTGACAGATGAGTTCGATGCTAAATCTGATCCCAGTGCTCTGAAATTAAGATGGAAAAGGAATGGGCACATTTGTCGATCCTCGGTCGACTTATGTTCCTATTCAAGAAAAACTGATTGCTTTTAGTTTGTAAGAAATGACTGACGAGTCACAGCATGCGTGTCTATTTAAAAAAAAAAAAGCCCTGGAATTTATCCTCTTAATATTATAGAATCATTTTTAAGACAAAGACGCCCAAAAAACAGGGTGAGGAAGGAGGGTAAGACCATAGAGAAAAAAAGGAGGTGTTTGCATTTCGGGCATCTTGGAATTTTTCATAGAGTATCTATAGCTTTGATGACGTCATTGGGTACAGCGACGTTTTTATCCTGTCGATTTTCTTGGAAATGGTGTAATTTAAGGGAAAAAGTCATTCTATAAAAAGTGCTTGAAATTATATAAAGAGTTGATTTAAGTAAAAAAATCGGACATTATGGTCCGTTTTTACAGCGTCAACATAACCCTCAACGAGCGTCTTGTTTACATTGATGACGTAGGTGGGTACAAATCCTCAAGATGCAAACACCTCCTTTTTTTTCTCTATGGGGTAAGACGGTCCAAATGTCAAATTTCAAAGAAGGAATCAAAATTCAGAGTAAGGAGAGGTCATTAAGAATATTATTTGGCGGGGAATTTTTCCACGAAACATCGTTTTGTTATTCAATTAAAATTATTTGCTCATTAACCACCAACGGACGATTTTGCTGGCCACGTAGCGGCCAGGGGGCAGACCCCCTAGTTTAGAATATCAACATTCTACGGAATCGTTAGACGGTTGATATATGTCACGCTGTAGTACCTTCTGATTTATGAGTAACGAACCTATCCAAGTAGCTTCCTCCCTGCTGGTTGGTATGAGACTGTCTTCCTCCATCAATTGAGGCAGCATTCCAGCAGACTCGCCGAACAGAGCACCCACACATACGTAGAGTGGAAAAAGGCTGGATATCACGAGGAACTGTGGAGGTAAAATAATAATTTTCACTAGTGACTTTCTGGAATATAATCAGGGTGTGCATCAGAATATAACACTCGTGTTACCGAAAAAGACATGAGTCTAAACAAGCGGGGAACCTCTAATACGTTCGTTTTAGAAAATCGCTTAGCTGTTTTCTACGTAATTTTTAGCTGAGATTGGAGAATTTCAAAGTGTATACTTTTTGCAAAGTAAAATTGTAGTGAAAGTAAATGGATTAGTAGTTTCGAAAAGAGAACAAGTCTATTTCCATGATAAGCCCCACAACGCTGGTAGCCTTTACTGGAAAAAAAAGAATCTTAAATTTGCCGCCAGAAGTATTTCTTCTTAAATCAAGAATTTTGCTGGTTAATATAAGCTCCTTTTTTGCTTATAACCCAAGCATTATTTTTCTTGAATCAAGAAAAAGTCAGCTTAAAGCAAGATAAAGGAAATTCTTGGCGGCAAATTCAAGAATTATCATCCTTGATCCAAGCTATTTTTTTTTTCAATGTCAATACAGCGCATGGCTCATCTGGAAAATGGACTTAGTTCCTTTTAGAATAAGCTCATTAGCAAATTTTTAAAATAAAGGTAATTGTTTCAAGTGTCGGGACGAGAAAATGGGTTTCCAACCTTTATTTCGTTTATTCCTTTAGTAAAAACTACACATTTCTACTACCTACATTCTTGGATTCTCCAATTATTTACAGATGTAACCAAATGCCCACCATGACCCCCAGAACCGGATTTACCTACTTGCCGCCCATGGGCCGCTAGTATTTTTCCGCCCCCTTCTCATTCGTTTTGAAACATCAATGAAAACCATCAAATGAACGTGCCAGCGGGGGAGGGGTGCATGAGACGCGTTTACTGGTGTTGAACAAATTTTTTGGGGAAAGCCCTGTCAACACCACTGGCAAAAGTTCACGGAACTTTGCGCGAAAGTTAAGTTTCGTAAACCTAGCTATCTCTGTGTGGACGAGGCCTTCCATTCATAAGAAATGGACGAAAAAATTATGAAAGAACAAACATAAAGGTGGATTAATGATTTTAATTTCCGCCGCCGCGCCTCACAGACCGCACTGTATTTGACGCAATGCGTGAAGTATTCTCGCAGTCTTGTAGGCGCTATGCGTCTCACGCTGATCGCACAGTGTTTGCCGCAATGCGTGAGGTATTCATGCATTCTGGTAGGCGCTATCCGTTTCACGCTGTCCGCAATGACCGCACTGTGTTTGATGCATTGAGTGAAGTATTCGTGCAGTCTTGTAGGCGCTGATATATGTTACATGCCGATCGCCACGCCGAGGGCTTCTCCTTTTCATCTCAAGTCCTCGTCATCATTTCTCTTTAGGCAAGTCGCGCCGTGCCAGGCCAAATTGCGTGTTTGGTTTCTCTCTTAACTCGACTAATTAAAGGTGCTGTCTCTTGTATCACTGAAAGACGACAAAAGTAGAAATTACTATACTCTCAGAAAATCAGAGATTTTGTCGCCTTTTCTCGTTTGTAATTTTTTTTCTAAATCCGAATTTTCTATACCTACATTTAAAAAAATTTCAAAATTTGCCACCACCTATAGATTTGCCGACATGGGCCGCGGCCCATGTGGCCACCCCCTTAATCCGGCCCTGATGACCCCATGGCCGACTGTTCCAGCACATACGTGCTGGAACTGTCACCTTGTTTTATTTTGCACGTTTGAAAGGTCTCGTGTTTGACTGCTTCTTCCTAAGCATCGCTTCAGCGATTGAACATTTCCGATTCATTTAACGCAGTTGTATTGATTAATCACTTCATTTAGAGTATTTCTGCATGATTATCCTCCCACTCAGGAATGATAAGGAATCGCATGTGTTAGACATGCCAAGTTTGAAGAGGGATTTGGAATGTAGGGCTATTACAATCAATACTTCAGCAATAGTTTACCACTTGAATTCAGTCATCACATTTATGTAATCGAAGCTTTTAAAATAACGACTGATGTCATTTTCGTGCGATGGTTTCAACCATAAGGGGTCAGCCTACATTTACATTCATGTAATTTACGCACATGGCTGCATTTACATTCATGCCTCGTGATTTTCTCACTCTGCGCGTGATTTAACCAAACCGCAAAACTATACCAAATTGAGCCTTGCACAAAAAGCGCTAAAATTCGCCCGTTTTCGGGCCCTCGAAATTGGGGTCGGTGTGAGGTATTTTTTCATCTATAGGGTGACCCTTTACACATAATAAAATTTCAGATTGAGTATACGCACCGTTTTTGAAATATGGGGGGGGCAAAGTCCCCGATTTTTACTCATATTTGCAGGTATTTTATAGTCGAACTTCGGCTGCTACAAGGTACCGGATGTAGATATTGAAGCGCGGTTTGCGGTGATTTGTCAAGCTATTTCTGGATTATTTTTTCACATCTTTTACAAACCCGCAAATGGTTTTTCGGGGGGGGGGGAGCTTTATTCATGTTATCATGACCGTTCGTATACGTCTTACTGGCATTAATTGCTTCGTTCTCGACTCCTCTCCACGCCGTAATCATGATGGTATTTTCTGTTAGGAATCTTTCTTCTTCTTTATATTTGACCAATTCTAATGTTGTCTCCCCCTTT